TGCTAAATTAATACGTCAGGTTAGAAACGATTTAGGGAAAAGAATATATATTTATTCATTGTCAGTTAATAAACTACATGTTTAACTCCGTTTATCAGAGAGATTTTAATCAGTATTTTGAAATATTTCCCAAGCGATGGAAATTTATTCGAAAACCAGGCATTCGGCGAACACGACTGGTTTCTTCCGGAACCAGCACTACCAGATCCCCGTCTGAGTAGTTACACTGTGTCGTTACATCGTCTGTAATAGCGTTGCAATCGTCTACAGTAGAACAAAGAACGGCTGTTCGTCGTGGATTACATGGCCCCTTAACCGCGTATTGCGTATTCAATTGTCGATGACTACGTGCACGTTTATTACGCGGCCTCTGTCTAACTATACATAGCATGAAACCGAATGCTCCGCGTTCATTAGACTATCAATCGAACGGTTATGCATCGCTAAAGGATAGGCCATGGTAATTACGAGCAATTATTGGCGAACTCGGCTGACATTGGCGGTAAAGCTGGCGCATAAATGACGTATAAAATGACGCACGTATTTGGAAGGAAGGTGATTCGGATTTGTGAGTTTTATTAGCAAAGATTCCGACAGTAACAGATTTTCAGATGCTGTTTGAAAGAATTTGAAGGAAATTTCCCCTTCGTCGGCGTTCTAAATCAAATCTTTGTACTCTAGTGAGGATAGAATTTGAAAATTGCTGACGAGTAATTGGTGATGAAGCAATTATTTCGAATTCTCGTTTTCTGTCTTCAAGAGAACGTACGCAGGAGACGAATGTGTGTCGAATGGTACATTACGCAATTATGAATCGATCTCGATATCATCGTTCTCGTTCAGCTCATGAACAAAGTTAATTGGATAGCTATAAAAAAAAATTGTGCCACGTCGATGGATGATGGCTCAACGATATTGAAAATAAAGTTTGATCTCTTGAGCTCTTCGATCATCCACACGGTTTCGATCTATCGAGTGATATAATTCTGACGAAACCTAAATGAAATTCATATCGCATGGTATAACATAACAAAATACACGTGACGAGGGAAGACCAAATGTAGAGTATCGAGAAGTGTAACAGAGCTATACACAGAATCCAAAGTCTTCGACCGATACCTAAAATGAAATATCGTATTTTCCACCTAGTCTATTGTCTAATCATCCTACACGCTCTTCTGCTCCGATTTCTGTCGTCTTTTATCTTGTACTCGTAACTCGTACACATTATCCGCTTCCTACGTCTGCTAACCTAGAAAATCTCAATTTCGCGAAACGATTCTTCAGTCTGATCTCAACCCTCGGAGACCCTTTTGTTTATACAAGTTTCATTCGACATCTACCTATGATCTCGCCAGTTTCTCTATCGTATAGAGAGGAAATCGGCGGGCACCGGTTCACTGTTTCATCTGGTCTGGTCTGGTCTGGTGTGGTCTCGTTTCGCTGCAAGGAAGCGTGCAACCCCCGTGCAACCGAGCAGCTACGGCGCGCGCCCCTAAAGGAACCGATGAATTGGCGCTGGTTATCGAGGTCATCCCGGGGTTTCCGTATCGGGCCACTATTTCCGTTTGCTACTAAACGCTCGTGCTCGCTCCCTCGCGAGTGCTCTGGCGCATAGTTAGGCAGACAGGCGCGCATACGCGCTTGCTCTCTCTCTCCCCCTCCCCCGAGAGAGGCACCGGCGAGAGCTCTCCCTATACGTGTACGCACGCGAAGACTTCTTCATCCGTTCGTTCATTCAGAGTTCACAGTCAGTCAGTCACCAGCACACCTCCACCGATCAGCTGATCCCGACGACGACGGCAGACTGCGCGTCGCCAACCCCTCCGCCCTCCTTCCCTTCTTCTCCACACCCGCCCCTCCTCCACTTCATCCTCCGCCACCTCCACCACCTCCTGCTGCTGTTGGCTGCTGCTGTTACTGCTACTGCTGCTGCTCCTGCTCCCTAACCCCCCCGATGGACGATCAGCTGACTGGGAACTGTCAGTCGTGTGCCGTGGGCCTCTGCGAGCCCACGCGATGGTGGGGCTCCCTCCGCGATCCAAGTCGCTTGCTTTCTGCTTTACACGGGGCCGCGACGCGACGCGACGCGAGGCGACGCTACGCGCCGCGTCGCAACCACGCGCCACTGTGTCCAAGCTTACGCGAATCTCGCCGACCACGCGGCCACAATCTAGACGACAAGGTTCGCGTGCCTCTGACAGGGGTAGCTCCTGGTGGAATATCTCAGATTCTCAGGATCCTCTGGCCAAAGATGATTGGGATTTCAACTACAAGTATACTACAAAGACACATGTGTGTCAGAGTTCCCTGCAACTGGATGCCATCTCGTAGACTTGGGCTCCTCTCGTTCCTGTTAGGCGTGTGTTTGGTTTTATCTGATGT